AGATAAACTCATGCCATTCGCAGCAAGGTGGATGGAGCTAGAAGGAATTATGCTCAATGAAATAAGCCAGAAGGAAAAAAGAAAAATATCGGATGGCTTCACTTATAGCAAGAATATAAGGGAACCAAATAAGACATCAGTGTAAAAAAATAATAACAGTACAAAACACAACAAAGCAACAACAGACAATTATAATCAGAGACATACTGCAGGGGAGGAGGAGGCATAGGGATCAGAGGGAGGGAGGGAGGAGCACAGGGGACTGTGGTGATGGTGCACAGGTGCCTTGGGGAAGGAAATTCTATGGGGACTCAATCTGATGGGGTGGGGGGAAGGAAATATTGTAAAAAAAAAAAAAACACAAAACATGATACCTGCATACTCGGGCAACTATGCATACTACTCTCCTGTTGCCTCCATTTCTCTTCTTTTCCCAGTTGTTAATGAGGTTTCTCATATAGAACCTCATGGATACATTTCAGGCCACAATGTTATAAATGTTGGAGATAAGAATGAAGAAAGAAAAGCTAAGGTTACATGATTTCTACTCCTTTCTTTTCTCATGAAGGAAGGTAGTTTATTATGGATGTTTGAAAAGTTAACATTAGCTTCCTAGAAATAGGTTTTTTTTTTATTATTTATTTATACAAGCACTGGGGTACAGGCCAGAGGCACCGGAGGGTGAGAGAATTCACCAGAGACAGAGCAGGGAGCCGAGCAGGCAGAAGGACCCAAGTACACTGCTGAGAAGTACAGCAGGCCAGACAGGAGAGGTCTGCCTGGGAATCTCCCCGGCTGGCCGGGAATCGAACTGGTGCTGCAGAGGCTGCGGACAGTTTCACAGCACTGCGCTCAAACTGTTGTGCCACCCGGAGGCCCCCTAGAAATATTCTTTATTAATCAATTGACATCATGAATTGCAGGATTTCTAAGAAAGACAGAGCCTATTAAATCCAAATGTAATTTCCTTGCCTGCATTTACAGGGGAAGTGACAGAGCTAGAACAAAATTTTCTTGGATCCAATGTTAATAGTCTTTCTACCATAACATGGTGGATGTTATATACAGCATGATGCCTTTTGTTATCCCTGAACTGGAGACAATTTTACATCCACAGGAAAACTCTGTGAAGGATCTAGGTGAAGCTCCAGGCTGTCTATAATCAATAGCTGATCTTCTGAATCAGTGTAACTTTTTATTAAACCACTTTTCTAAAACTAAGATAAGAGCAGAAATTAATTTAAGAAGAAAGTAGATGAAATCAAAGCTTCTTCTTGGTAGAAGAACAGCATAGTATGTGAGAAAATACTGGGATTTAGAATGAAAGATCTGGGTTTTATTCTAGTTAGGCCATGTTGCATGAGTCAGCTTAGCATATTACTGGAACTCACTGTGTAGGATGAGGATTTGAGGATTATAGAGCTGACATACCTTCCACATAGTCTATTGTGAGGATCCAAATATGTCAAACTTGAGCATAGTTCAACTATTTGGCATCGGATTCAATAACAGCTAAGAATAAGGGCCACCATAAGGCAACTGTTCAATAAGTGTTAGGTTTATTAAATATTTTGATACGGTTCTAAATTCCCATACTCAAACTATCTGTTTAACTCTCCTATTTTTTTCTTCTATTCTGCAGTTCCTTTCTCTATGAAGACTTTATAATAAAGAAATTAAGAGTTTAGGTCTTCCAAGATCTTCTCTGATTTAGGTCTCAGATAACACAGTATTCAACCCATGTAATCTATTGATTGACTTATGGTGTCTAGAGAGAGTTACCAGGAGTGAAGTATTCATTGAGAAAGTTAGGTTTTACAAAGCTTCCAGAACACACACACATGCACATACACATCCCCAAAAAATTATTTGCAGGAGTCAACTAAATCTAGTCACATGGCAATGGTATTTAAAATTGGTGTACTTTGCCAACAAAAAAGAATTATTTTTTTGAAAAAGCACTTACAATTTTGAATTAAAAATTTTCTTAAATCTGGAGTTGAAAGTAACCTTGATTATTTCTTCCATATATATATATATATATATATTTAAAGAAATTATCAAGCTCAAATTCAAATAGTAACTTATAATCAAGACTGATGAAACTACACAAATGAATTTTAATTATTATTTTATAATGTCTCTTTGGCATATTTACCAATTAGTTTCCTATCTTCTATTAATGCCCATTTTTATGCATTGTGAAAAGAGTGTGGCACAGTCTATAGCTCATGGTAATGGTTCTGCAATAGTGACAAAAGTGAATTTTAAGTTGAAGAGATTTGTTACCAGATATTGAGCTTTGTCAGGCTTGCTGTGAAAGTGATTTCTCAGATATGTGATATGATGAACCAAGTAAGCATTACCACAAAAACTTATCTCTTATTTAACAAATACTTCAAAGTTCAGTGAAAAACATCCTGTTTCCAATCTATTTTTTATGCAAAGTTTAGAAAAGGTCACCACCTATAACTATGTGTCATTAAGTTTCCATACACGTGTCATTTTAAATACCCCTACATTACCCAGCTTTTCAGACATAAAGTGCCCTGGGGGGAAAAAAAAAAAGTCCAGAACTGTTCCACTAATTGCAGACAATATGGCATGCTTACAGGGAAGTGAAGTAGGGTGTCAAGGCATTCACCAATCTGCTACTGCACAAAAGGCCAGGACATTAGCAGAGGAGGCTGATTGATAAAGTTAATGCAGAGGTCCGGGATTATAGAAGGCTGTTGTATAACAGCTTCACATACTGTGATATTCTGCGAATCCTTGCAATAAAAGAACAATATTTGCAAGCTAGTGGAAAGCAGTCACAGGAACAGCAGCAGGAAAGATGCTTTAGACATGAGCAATTGGCTGGTGATCTTCATTTTTATTCGTCTACATAAGCCCATACGAGCTCATCATTGTTACCCTTAGGCAGTTAGCAGGTTTGGGATTCCATCCTAAAAGTCACTGTCCCCCACTTAAAATCTCTCACTCTCCACCATCCCTGAAACAGCCAATGAAGAGGGAAGAGGCACCAGGGCCACTACTTGCACTGTGCCTCCCCCTTCCTATTTGGACCTTGTGAAGCAGCAGCCCCAATTTTCTACACTGCTGTTGGGGGCCTCCATCCACCTGCTGTCTGAGGCCAAATGCCAAATGAAACAGTAGGAAACCTGTAAATCCTGACCAGTAGAAAAGGTGTCCAGGACAGGTGGCAGGGGCTGCAACCAGTGAGGACAGACAGACTGACATCCAGACAGACAGACAGACAGCAGCACCATCAGACACCATCCATTACTTCCAATCTCAGAAGAGGGGAAGCCTGCAGCACCAGGGACATCATCATTCCACTAGGGACAGGCAGCAGATTAACGAGGGTGCTGCCTCCCTCAAGCTGGCAGGCTTAAAGTATTTGTTTTTTGGATTGGAAGGAGCAGGGAATTCAGAAACCTGCTGCTCTTTATAGAACCAGGCCAGCTCTGGCCTTCCAAGTTAATGGCTCCTTTCTGAGTCTACAATTAAAGGCAGGAATGACTGGATTCTTACTCTTTTGCTGTAACCCCGTACCCACAGCTCTCCCTTAATAACCCCTTCTCCCATCTGGGTGGCAGTTACACTGGTGGGGACCCAGCAGTCTGTGAATGCAGCCTCCCTCACTTCTCCTGTGAGGTTCTGCTGCACTGAGGGGAGGTGGAAGAAACCTTCCATGGCAGCATCTTCTCTTTAGGAGGCAAACCTAGGGAGGGAGTCTGAGGCCACCCTGGTTGTGCTCCGCGTCTGGGTGTCATCCCTGTTCCCGCCCTGTCCCTTCCTTGCTATCAACTAACTCCAGATGCAACAGGTTCCCTTTGATTCTTCATGTCAATCCTCTGCCCCCAAATATACCTTCTGGCCTAAACTAGGGACACCAAGGTCTTAGTCCCAGCCAAGGTCTCTCCATTCCTTCACCCCTAGTTGAAAAGTTTCCTGAATACAAGGAGACCTCCCTTGGGAGGTCTCCTCCAGCTCCACTCTAAGGCTGCTGATAAGGAACAACGAAAGCCCAGTCTGGATGCCAGCACCTTGTAAGCAGTTTTGTCTGAGACTAAAGCAAGCAACAGCACAGTGTCACACACTCCTGCTCCAGCAGCTCTGAAACCCATCCCCTCCTCAGGTCACTGAAAATGGGACACTGGGCAGAGAGATCTCTTGCAGGACTGATGAGTTTTAAAGGGGGGATGTGTACAAATATCCAGCCCTCTATTACAGTGATTTCAGCAGGAACTGAGCAGGCCCCTGAGATCTCCTGAAAACCAGTAAAGAGGAAGCTCTATTTTATTCTGGCCAGAGTCCCCATCAGCTTCTCCCATTATTACAAACTTTGCATTGCCAATGGTATGATATGTGGTGAGAACATGTGTCTTCACACGGGTATTGGGTATAGAAAACTGAATGAAAGGTTAAGGAGAAGCTGGGGAGGCAGGTTACCAAAGATGGCAACTGCCCAAAAAAGACCCAACCTTGATCTGATGAATGAGTACCAAAATGAACACTAAAAATAAGCATTTTTCTTACATAAATACTGGCATCCTTCACTGGGGTAAGCCCAGCCTGCTAAACAACTCCAAGAAGCGAAGAGGCGCCCTTCTTGGCATGTCTTCACCCACCTCCTCGTCCCTCCACTCAGCCCCTGGCCCCTAACCTGCTCCCGGCCCCGGGCCCTTCCACTTGGGTGGGATCAGTCCTTCCCAGCTTCTGCTCATCCCACCCCCAGGGCGGCCCCCGTCCACCCAATCTGCCTCTGCACTGCCGCCTCCATCCTCTCGGGCTCCGAGGTTCCCGGCGGGGTGGGATCCCCGCCTCGCTCCTGACCCCCTCACCCTTCCCCGCTCCAGCCCGGCGCCCCTGGCCCCCAGGCGGGCGCCTCCGCCCGCCCCTCCCCCACACCCAGCCGCGAGGACCGGGCGGGCGGGCGGTGGATGGACCGATGGAGGCTCGGCGCACGGATGGCGCGGCTGGAGGTGGCTTACTTGAGCATGGCTTCTTCTTTTTCCTCCTCTTCCTTCTGCCGGTCCATCACTGCCATGATGATGTTCCTCTCCTCCTCGGTCAGGTGGCTCAGGTCGGGCAGCTCTTGCATCGGGGGAGGCACCGTGGGTGGGCGAGGACCGCGGGGCCCCACGGCCGAGGACATTTTCGTGGCCTGCCCGCCCCCTCCTCGGGCTCGCGGGCTCCTGCTCACCTTTCGGATGCACGCCCGGCAGCGGCGCCCCTGCTTCCCCTCACAGCGGAGCCCTCCCGGCGGCGGGAGGAGGCGCAGCGGCAGCAGCGGAGCCGGGGAGAGCGAGAACCCAGTCTCTCATGGTTGTTTGCATCCACCCAGTCCCGGATGCTGCCTTTGTTTTGGTCGCCCTGGCGAGGCGCGGGGCCGCCCGGCCGCCTCCCGCAGCCCAGCCTCGGCCGGCGGGGGCGGGCGGGCGGGCGGGGGCGCGGCGGGCGCGGCGAGGCGGGCGAGGGCTCGCGCGGGGCTCGGCCGACCCGGGCGTCGCGGGCTGGGCGCGCGGGGCGGGGGCGGGGCTGGGGCCGCCGCCGCGGAGGCTGCTCCCCGGCTCGCTGCCTCCAGTTTGGGGCTGCGGGAGGGAGAGGGAGAGTTGGGGTGTCAGTTAGGCGGAGTCTCCGAGGCTTCGCTCCCGGGCGCTGCTGCTGCTGCTGCTCTCGCAGACCCAGCTGCCAGCCACTCAGTCCCCAGCCGCTCCGCCCCCGGGCGCCCACCCGCCCACTCCCCGGGTCCGAGCCACGCGCGCCCCAGCCGCTCCCCCCACGCTCGCCAGCGTGCACACCACACCGCTCTATCCCCAGGTACCCCTCACCCGTGAGTCATCCTCCCTCTCCTGGTCCCTCGCCTGTGTCATCCTCCCCAGCCCTATTTTTCCATGGGTTGCATTAATCACCATCATCCTCGCTACCATCTTCATCGGTGAGCGTGAATATTATCTGAGCACCCACAGTGTTCGGAACAGTAGGCTGGAACACCCTTTGGATGCATTATTGGATTTTCCTGTGACCATTTCTTTCTCATTTATTAGGCAAGTGTTGGGAGCCAAAGCAATGATTTTTTAGATGATTTTGATACACACACAGGCTTACACACGCGCGCGCGTGCACGCGTACACATACACACACCTCCAACAGCTTGGATTTTCAGGGTGCATTGTATGCAGTCTTTCTTGACTCATCCTCAGTTAGGACTGTTGTGCAATTTATCCTCGTTTTTCGTCGAGATGCCCCACAGTAAGGCAACTCTTTAATGTGTCATTCTGGGATCTAGGTAGCTCCATCACATCACATAATCACACTTTTCTGGTACTTACAAATGGATTATCTACTCTAATTCCTCTAATGGTGCTTGGTATCATCATAGAGTACTCACTTCCTAACCTCTAGGTACTTCTCAAGAAAACCCAGATAATGAAACACCCGGCCATATCCTGCTGTAAGAAGCTACTGCCCAAATGCCTGGCCCAATAATAGCCATTAAAGATGATTTTCTCATGCTGATAAAGGCAGAAATAAATAAAGAAGTCTTTCAAACAGGTAAATGCCCTCCGCTTTGAAACCTGGAGACAGCACGTTGTTAATAAAATTATGTAAGAATCAATATAGAGAATGAATCAAATTGAACAATTTCCTAGTGACTATCTCCTTTAATAACACTGACATCCTTCACTGGGGTAAGAGTAATAATGGTGATGAGAGAATTGATATGTTTCTCTGCTGGCAAACGCTTTCTATAGTTCCAGAAGGGAATTAGCTTAATTTTTTCCCTCCAAACCTAACTTCATTAATGAAGATACTATTTATTAATTCTAAAATCTTCAAGTTTAAGGAAGCTAAGATTTAACTGCTTGATCTCCCATTGAATACAGGTGCTGTTTTCATATAAATACATTTATTTGACTACTCCAATAGTGGAGGACTCACTACCTCTTATGTCTGTCTTTTGTCTAAAACCCTATTCTACCTGAAAAAAGTCTCAAATATTTATGATGGCTATCACATCATCTGCAATTTTCTCCAGAGTAAACCTTCCCAGTTGTCAGTCCGTAGTTGTGCATCATGATTTCAAAGTCTGGTGACTCTGGTTACCTGCTTCTGGACACACTCACGTGTTTTCACTAGGTTTTCTGATTAGCAGTGTTTAAGAGTACATGTAAAGAACCAAGAACAGTGCCTGACACTTAATATTTGCTTTATAAATCATTTTTCTTTGCACAACTTAACATAGGTCTAACTTTTTGGTAGCTGTGTCAGTTATGAGGTTGTTATAAAAATAAACCCATAGTCAACTAAAATTTCCAATTCTCTGTCATAAGTGCTACTGCCTAGATAAATGTCCTCTTTCCCTCTTTCTCCTACTTAAACAGTTGGTAGAAACACTCGTAACAGCATCTTTTTGTCACTTTTCAAAAATTGTACTTATTTTTCCATCAAACCAGCGTATAATCCGGGGAGAAGTGATGAGGTTTAATTCTGGCTGTACCAGTGATTTTATGATCTTGGTTGGCTAAATCACTTTCCTCTCTGAACCACTGTTTCCTCTTCCTAAAAAATGGGATAAGGATATTCACCTCAAAATAGATTAGAAACATTAAATGAGAAAACATATTTGAGGCATCTAACTGTGTTTTGAATGCTTTGTTATTCTCTTGCTTATTTCTTGATCTCTGAAAAAGATGTACTAAGTCATCTCTCAATTATTAGTCTTCAGAAGGGAGTAGAATGGAGAGGTTATATTCATTCTGTCAGATGCCTATCTCTCTGCTAGTCAAAGTATTGCTGCAACAAAGACCCTGTCTCTAGAGGTTTATAATCAAGTTGATAGCCATTAAATTCTTCTAAAATACAAATAAAGGAATTAAAAATCTTCACTAGACATTAGAACTTGCTGAATAATGTTCTTGAAGGCAGGGGCCTAATGAACAATTAACAGTGGTTATTCTCATTTGCTAGGATGGCTGTAATGAATTACCACAGACCAAAAGTCTTAAACAACAAAAATTTATTTTCTCACTGTTCCAGAAGCTAGAAATCCAAGGACTAGGTGTTCATAGGATTGATTTTTCCTGAGGAATCCTCGTTGGCTTGTATATGGCTACCTTCTTACTCTGTCCTCGTATGGCCTTTTCTTTTCTTTTCTTTTTTAAAGATTTATTTATTTATTTGTTTGTTTATTTATTTATTTATTTATTTATACAAGAACTGGGGTACAGGCCAGATGCGCCAGAGGGTGAGCAGATTCACCAGAGACAGAACAGGGAACAGAACAGGCAGACTAACGAATTACACTGTTGAGCAGAGCAGCGGGTGAAGACAGGAGAGGTCTGCCTCGCCATGTGGGATTCTCGCTGGCAGGTCAGGATTGAAACCACGCTACAGATGCTGTGGACAGCTTCACAGTGCTACGCTCAACCGCCTGTGCCACCAGGGGAGGCCCTCATATGTCCTTTTCTCTATGCATGCCCATCTCTGGGATCTATTTTAAGGATACCATTCCTATTGGATTAGGGACCTTCCCTATAACATTTAACCTTAATTATCTCTTTAAATGTCATATGTCCAAATACAACCCTGCTGCATTTTATGGTCCTAAGGATTAGGGCTTCGATGTATGAATTTATTAGAGTGAGGAGAGGGGGACATGACTCAGTCCATTGCAAGTTATTTCCATTTATTATAATTCCTTTGGGAAAAGTGATTGATGTGAATTATCTGGATGATTTACTGAAAACAAGTCTGGTCTCCATCATCTTTATGTTCTTAGCTACTTCATTGGGTGCCATAAGTGTATGTGAAATCAGTAAGAATAAATGAATAAATGAGAGGATTAATTGATCAATAAGCTAGTAGGTGCCATGATGCAGCCCATCAGTGTCTCCCTTTATGTCAGGAATCTCATCCATTATGGAGGGATTCTAAACCAATCACTAAAATATAAGTGAAGTGCATTACACAAATGTACCTGCAGAAAAGCCCAGCTTACCTTCACTTAGATAAACAAGCAAACACCCAAAGGATGTACGAAAGCGTGGGGCACAGATGATTAATTCCTGAAGGTACTCTATAAAATATGGCCAATAAACTTAGAAAAATGAGCATGATATCTCCCTACTAGAATTTCATGGGACACCTAATATAACAAATGAAAAGTGCTAAAAAGCAATGACCAACTGCAATAAAGAAATCTGTTTTATTTGGTTTGTCCTGGCATTTCCCTAATGTATTTGGACTATAACAGAACTATACTCACTCCTAATGGGGAAAACATGTTTTAGACAAACTTCAGGGAAAATCCTGACTTACAAGCTTGAAATTCAAAAAATGCTCACCATGTAACTCCTAATGTGATTCTCTTTGCTTAACCAATGATACCTGTAGAAAAAGATCTTGTCTCCACTCATAAGATATGAATCAGATACCCTTAAGATAAACACTAACATATGTTCAGGGTACAAGTCAGAAAACATGACACTAACACAAACCAAGCTCATCTAAGTTATGTTTCTTAGGTCTTCTTTCTGGTGATACTCTCAAATCATTTCTGAAAATAATTCTAAAATTGCATACCACTGTTAACTGTTATTTAACTTAATAGCTGAGATTATAACTTCAGAGTGGAAAAATCACTGATATGGGTTCAAGTTCAAACTCTCACTGTTTGCTAGTGATAATGGTTTTAATTCGGTACCCCCCAAAATTCACATCCACCCAACACCTCAGCATGTGACTTTATGTTGGAAAAGTGTCTTTCCAGATGAAATTACCTAAGATAAGACCATATGGTATTATGTTGGATCTTAAATTCAACACCTAGTATCCTAATATCAGAGAGCATGCACAGACCTAGAGTATAAAAGGCCACGTGAAGACAAAGAGAGACACTTAGAGAAGACAGCCATGTAAAAACTGAATTGGAATTATGCCACCCCAAACCAATGTATGCCAGCACTCCTCTAAAGACTTTAGAGGTGACCTGGTTTTGCTAATTCCTTGATTCCATACTTCCAGCCTCGATAAATATAAAGGAATAAATTTCTGTTGCTCAAAGTCATGTAGTTTGTGGTACTTTTTACAGCAGTCCTAGGAGACTGAGACAATAGTTAGATGAGTTTGGGTGAATTAGTAAGCCTCACTGAGCCTTAT